GCCATTTAAAAAGTCAAAGATAAAACCAGTTGGGGTAAGGATGCTGCTGAGATGGCTCAGTAGTTGAGCGCGCATACTATTCTTACAGATGGCCTGAGCTTGGATTCCATTGCACACTTGGGTGACTCACAATCACCATAACTGTCTTGAGCCTCTGGCATCCTTTCTGTCCTCCATGGACAGAACACACACACACAGTCCTCCATGGACAGAATATACACACACAGTCATACACATACCCACACACTGACAAATATACATGCACATAATTAAAAAAACAAAAATAAATCTTAAAAAGTAAGTGGGGACATGCTATGTCAAGATAAGTGAAAAAGATCAAAAAGTATACTTTTTTCCCAAATGTCTCATTTTACAAAGTAGTTTAAATTGTGTTAAAAATCACTAGTAAGAAGTATGTTTTTCCTTGATTTTCATTTTATTTTTACCTATAATTATCAAGGGTAAAGAATACCAAAAGATGATGGTAAACTTATGCTTCCTTAGATTTGTAAATCTACAAAACAGGAGCATACTATGAAATCTGAAGTGGTTGGAGTCCTAACTAAGCATGTCTGAAATTGAATGGCTGTGATGGCTGCTGGGTGCAACAAAACTGCCAACCATCTGCGTTAGTCTGCAGCTTATGTCAGGCCATTTCTACTGCGGATCTGAAGGAGTCCAGGAGGGAAACCTAATCTAGAAAAGGCCATGTAGAGGCCACAAAGAGAAAGGCATGGCATTCTAGAGTTGGATGTGTCTATGTCCTTCCTCTGAGTTCTCCTAGGGGGAGTTTAGAAGGGAGTGGACCATCAGAAGACCATGAATACTGCAATTCATAGTTTAACTACTCTGGCTTGAGGGATCCTACAGCTAAATAGCGTGAACTTGATAAAGCAATAAACTGTCACCCATGTCAACTGCTTCAGCTGCATAAGGAAATCTGCAATGCAGTTGAAACAAGTCTCCTTCCAAACTAACAGGGTTATAAAAAAAAATTACCTCTCACAAAAAGGCAGATAACATGGGCTGTGTCTCCATCTGCCAGCTGTAGAAAGCTGCTTAGAAGCTATGACCGACACAGAATTATCTTAAAGGAAAGCACCCCTAAAACTCAACTCAGCAGCCCCCTCCCTTTACATTTACACAAGTGTTCTTCTTGCTGGTGGCATTGAATCCAGGCACAACCAGGCTCAGTGACACAGCTGTATGTGACCAAGAGGCACATTTTATGTCAGTCCTGCTCCCCGTCAGCTGTTGACGCCTTGCAAGGAGCCCTCATTATGAATTTCACCATTCTTCACCCCCAGCCACAAGGATGGGCAATCTACCAAATCCCTCAAGATAGCGCTTTCTGGGGAAGTGATAAATTTAAAAGTTTCAGCACATTTCACATGAAGCCAGTTCAGGAGCCTTGTTCGTTCCAATGCAATGCCTTGTATCACATTTGGGGAATTTGAATACTTAACAGCTTACTTGGACACATGGAGACATTAAAATGGTGGCTCACTGACTGTGTCTCTTCAGCTGTCAGGTTTCTACCAAAAGAATAACTAGAAAAGCAAAAGAAGCCATATGCTGTCCTTGAGCGAAACCTGTCTGCCTCCATTTGCACTCCATCTCTGCCATTCTCTGAACACCCTAGAGATGACCAGTGCCAGAGGCCTTTTAGTCACTGCTTTTCTCTCTCCTTGGATCTGTAGCTCACATGAAGCCTACACTTTATTCCATCTTGTCACCAACTTCGGTTACTTCTTTGTTCTTTTTTTTTATTAAGGAACAGATTAAGCCTTCATACTCAATACACTACATACCTCATACATACTACAAACTCCACCCACCTGCAGATAATTTTCTGACCTTTAGTCTTATGTATACAAGGAATCCCCTGGAGGCTGATCCAACTACTTCCATGGTTCCATGGTATTTTTCATGGTTCCTGTGAAACATGACAGCCCTGGGCTGTCAAAACACAAATGAGTCAGTAAGCTCAGGCACAAGTGAACATCCCAACGATTTGACAGGGAATAAACAGGACTCTACAACATTAGGGTTGTCAGCTAGGCTGGGGGTTACCCTAGGGAAGTCTTGTGTTCTCCCCCTTTGAAGCTGTAAAAGTGTCTTAGAGAGAATGCTCATCCCATAAATAGTGTGAATTCCCAATGAGCTGTATTTGTATCAAGTAAGAAATCAAGTGTATATCAGAGCTGTTGCCAAAGTCATGCCTGCTCTCCTCCACTGTTCTCTTCCAGGGGTTTCTTCAACTTCCATCTTATAAAGCAAGGTTTTTGTTTTTGTTTTTGTTTTTTTAATTGCTCACCTAAGTTGACTCCCCGAGTTCATATTTCTCAAACAAAAGCCCAGCCCTGAGGGAAGTTACTTTGCCTCACCATAGCATAGCTGATAGATGTTCAGAAATGAGCAGTTCTGGGAATCCACGGGATAGATTTTAATTCTAGTTTATAACTAGAAGGTATGAAAAGGAGCACACAGCATGCACAAATTGTACTGATCTTCCATTGAAGGGCAAAAAGCTTTTAGAATACTTATATTGTAGGTATGTTTTTTACAAATATCTTTTTTCCCCTCTTCTTAAGAGGGACGTGCTTATTTTTATTTTACATGTATGAGTGTTGGTCTACATGTGTGTATGTGTACCACCTGTGTTCCTGGTGCCTGTAGAAACTAAAAGGAGGCTGTTAGATCCCCTGGAACTGGAGTTACAGACAGTTGTGATCCACTATGTAGAGTCCGGAAACGGAGTCTGGATCCTATGCAAGAACAGCAAGTGCTGTTAACAGATTTTCCTATCAGCTCTCTCTAGATATAACCTAAATTCTTCATGTCTGACCATCAGTCTCACTAGTGATTCTGCCTAGAGCTTGGAAGGCATTCACTACTCTTGGAAAGAAATCCATGAGCGAAGAAGAAAGTCTTGAAGTGATTCTGTCTGCAGTGACTTAAATAGGATTTGTGGGGTCTACCAAAGGTACAGGTTTCTTCTAAAATCATTAATTTTATAATTCTCCTCTTTTACAACTTCCTGAGTCACAAATACCATGCCCCTATTGTCCCACTGACCACTGGGTATGTAATCTTTGAGGAATGTGTATTTAAGGAAAAAGGATTTCCCTTCAAGGGAACAATCTAAGATACTCTCTGAAAGGCAGAAAGTTTACAAATTAGACACTGGCTAATTTTTAAGAACCTTTAGTGGAAGCGTGTCATCCATTCATCACAGTCTTTTTCCATCTTTGAATTACAATCCAGACGAGTGTGGGAAGCAGCCTCACTGGACTTGGATTTAGCGATCATGTTTTTGCCTGGAAAATAAGCATTGGCCTGCATGTCTAGAAACTCTCTGAAATCAGTTAGCATCCTAATATGAATCAGATGCTAGAAAAATGTAAGTTGCTTTAACTCATTTATGGTTTGGCTTGGTTTGCTTTAATTTTCTTAGCACCACCTGGAGTCACGGAGCCTGCTTCCTAAGAGTCACATGCCATTGCAGTGTCCCCTCTCCACCTTCTGAGATCACAAGCAGTATGGGAGGACAGGAAAACCAGGAAACAAGAGAGAAGAAAAACGAAACAAATCCCTTGCAGTGTTTCTGCCAGCCTTGTCATGATAGTACCAGAGACAGCTTTTTGATAGGAATTTAGGTCATTTGTATTAGGCAGATAGGGGTGTCCTGTGTTGTTATAGCTCAAGGACAGACTTTGTGCTGAAAAAGCAGGTACTCCAATGAAACTGACCCGTGTTTAGCTTAGTAACTTCCAGCTTCAGCTTCTGCTTGCCCAAGCAGATCTTTCTGCTTCCTCTATGCCTGCTCACAAGCCATCTCAGCAGCTAGCATCATCTAGCTTTCCTGCATCCCATAGTTCACCTTCAGCCTCCACTTCCTTCACATACCACAGCCCTTGTCTTCTCAAGGGACCTTT